ATCTTAAAGACTGTGAAACAGATGGAACAATAGATGTTGAAATCTCACTTTGTGAGTGCTTGAATATGAGTGGACCTCAGATACTGAGGGAGCTGTAGCCAGAAACAGCAACTGAAAAACCCAGAAAGGATCTATCTTTCATCTTGAATTAAGGTGATAGTGCAGAGCCAGGAATGTTTGGATAGCATTGAATTTACAATTGGCAAAGGACACAACTGCCAGAAGGTTTGCGTTTTGGGATCCCCCCCCCCCCTCTCACTTTCTAAAACATTCAAGCTCAAGAGATCATGGGTGACTTTATTGTAGAATTTGGCAGGAAGACAGTTGAGTGCAGCATTCTCCCCTCTGCACAGAGAAAATGACATTAGGTAATTCAATTGTCCTGTGATAATTTAGAGATATTGTTTTTTTAAGGTGGCTAATGGTGAAAGCAAGAGAGAAAGAAAAGCAAAAGGAAAACCCGCACTCTCCCCAATAACCATTTTGACTACAAATGAGATACAACACAGATCTTTTCCTTTGCTATAACTCCATGCTTGCATATTGGGGCCTGTGAAATGTTTCAAACTACGTCCAGAAACACATTTTGGCACTAATTAAAACAGTTACAAACAACATCAACACAGCTGATCAATGGTGCTCACTGCAAAGTTCCTAGTGACTCTGTACTCGACTCGGAATGGTTCAGCTCCTCCCTGCCTTGTTGCCCACCTGAAAGCTACATCGATTGAAGTGTTGTTGTTCTTCGCTTCTTCTCAAGAAGGCTGGGTTTTCTGCAGTAAAGACTGAAGCAGTTCTAGGAAAAGACCCCAGATTGCAAATGAATGAGAGCATCCTATGACCTCTTAGTAAAATATGAGTAAATAAAATGCAGGAAAGCACTATAGCACAAGCCACCCAGAGCTCAGTTTAGGACTTATACTGTATAGTATGTCGTTTTGTCTGAGTTAAGAAAAGGGATGGGGTGAAAGGATCTGCATGCTGAAAAGCCCCTTAGATGAGTAAATAGAGTATCAACAGCTGTCCATTGGGCCATTATTATTCTTTTGACAGCTTATAAAATGATCTACTTCAGGGGCATGCAACCTTGGCAACTTTAAGACTTCTGGACTTCAACTGCTGGAATTGACTGACTGGGAAATTCTGGGAGCTAACGTCTACAAGTTTTAAAAGTTGCCAAGGTTGGACACCTCTGATCTACTTGTTCCAGTGTTACTCAGGATTCGCTTTTTGTACATTGTTCCCTCTGATGGATGATGTGATGTTGGCCATTACTCAGGTAGTACGTGACTTAAATTAAACATGTGTTAGTTATAATGTCCAGCCTTGCATTAATACTTACCGTAGTTAAATCAAAATGAAGTCTTTGGCAAAGAGGAACAAGCCTACTTTCTTTTGTAATTAAGGATCAACAATCTGTTGAAAAGTTCATGTTATAAATGGAAGCCACAAAACCTTCCTGTAAATACACAGACAGCTTCTCTTTCATCAGGTCTTATCTATCTGTGCTATGTAGTTCATAAACTAGTTCATATGTGTAAGATAGATTGTCATGGGTGGGTGGGTGTGCGCATGCACATACCTGTGTTTGAGCTCAAAACTTGAAACATCCTCTGGCAGCAGAATTTGGAGCAGGAATTGCTCTCTCCTATTGATCACTGCTCCACTGGAAATCCCTCTTGCACACTGAAATAATGCTGGGCTTTGGAGACTGCAGCCTATAGCTTCTTCTTGCATGACTCCAATGTATCTTTAGAGCAGGGATGTCAAACTCAATTTCACTGAGGGCCGCATCAGCATTGTGGTTGCCTTGGGGGGATGGGGGGGCATGGCCAGAGTGGGTGCAGCCTACTGGGTGGCCATGAATGGAGTGGGTATGGCCTACTGGGTGGTGTGTACATCATTCACGTCAAGGTTGCCTATGGGGGCCTGGGCAGGAGTGGGACAGATCTGAGGGTCTCTGGCAGAAGGGGGTGGGACTGGGGCAAGTGCCAAGGCATGGTCCACCAGTGCAAGTGCCAAGATGGCCACCACAAAATTGTACATTGGCTCCCGACCAGCCTGGGCCAGGGCCAAGGCAGCGGGGGCCGTTCCCTCACTTCGTGGGCCACATCCGGCCCCCGGGCCTTGTGTTTGACATTTCTGCTTTAGAGCATAAACAATGCCAAAGCCTGAAATATGTTCTAATTAATGTTGGCAAGCTTTGCAGTAGTGAGATTCCAAGGTGCCTAAGATTCCTCATCCTCACTTGCCCTCTCAGGCTGTCATGGCTGCTTGTCCCAATTCAGTAATTGCCATTAACTTGCCTCCAGAACTTGGTTTCTGAAATCAAGGAGACGTCTCCTGCAACATCCTGGTCTCCTCTCTGGTGATACAACTCCCAGAAACTGGGCTGAAGGAGCCTTAGTCTCCCAGTGTTGTTCCCAATAAATTCTTTTCAAAGGTATTGCTTTGTCTTCTGTGAAAAGAATCCCTGCAAGTGCATAATTTACCTTTCCCCCAGGAGATGTAGGAAGCCTACACAAACCTATTTTAATGGTTCTTTGGAGTTTCATACATTATATTACCTGGAGCATCAGAAGCTGCAATCTTGCTTAGAGAATTTTCCTGCCTGTCACGATGGCATTTTTAGAAGCTTTTGCAGGCCATGGCAGTGTTTTATCCATGACTCATTTCACTAATGAAGAACATTACTGGAACGTTTCTAGAGCACAAGACTGAAGAAAAAATAATTTTGCAATTCTCATGCAGATTTTTTTTTTTAAAAAAAAATATTGCTTGTACATACTTTGCTCTGTGGCACAAGGTTTTTTCTGATTGCTGTAAAACTGTGTGCATTTTTTCAGTGAGAGTATTAATGGCAGGTATGTTTTCTTGAAAAGCAGCAGGTAGCTCCCTTCAATAGACAGATGTAGAGGGAAAGATGGATCTAGCCCAGGGGTAGGCAACCCCTGGCTGGCTCAGGAATTCTGGGAGTTGAAGTCCATGAGTCATAAAAGAGCCAAGGTTGCCTACCTCTGATCTAGCCTAAGGATACTGTTGGTTTCTGCCTGGCAGTTTTGAAAGACTGGCTATAACCCATAATACTGCAGGCAGGTCAGAATCTGCTGATGTATCTTTGCAGTTGGATGGAAGTTAGCTGATACAGAGGACCTAATCTAATATATCATGCTAGTTGCTGAAGGATGACAGGAGAAAGGGATTATCTAATACAGGGGTCGTCAAACTTGGCCCTTTTATGACTTCTGGACTTCAACTCCCAGAATTCCTCAGCCAGTGTACCTGCCTGAGGAATTCTGGGAGTTGAAGTCCAGAAGTCATACAAGGGCCAAGTTTGACGACCCCTGGTCTAGCAGGAACCCTTTTTTTAACAAGAATTTTCTCCAGTTCTAAATCTTAGAATAAAATTATGATTGCATTATTTCAGTGTCTCTTCCCCCCCCCCCCAGTTAAATAAAGGATCATCATGGGGGGAAATGGACTGGAAGGATAATATAGTATTGGAGGAAGCCAGGTCTTTCTCCCCTAGCTTAAACCTTCAATCCCTGTTAGCCCTTAGATGTATTCACAGAAGGCTTTTGGTGGGGGGCAGTTTGAGCTCAGCCGCAGGCTAGCAGGCTCATGTATCTTTCTATGCATGTTGGGGGGGGAAAAGCTATGGTTTTGTACTGTGGGCATTTGTAATATAAATAATAGGAGGGATAATGTTCTCAAATAATACCTGTGTAAAACTATGCTAAATGCAAGACAAGGTAAGCATTCCAATTCAATCTATCATGCTATAAAGAGAGATCGTCTCCAAAAATAATTAAGCAATAATGAAATTATAAATTGGAACAAGCTTGGCGCTCTTTTTCTTTTCAGAAATTTGAAGAGACTTGTTTCTTTTTTTTCTTTGAAAATGAATGTGTTTGGACAAGTAGGCTAGTGAAAATTGTTCTGCAACTGCAACAGTGACTGTTGTGAACAGGAATTAGAACAGGAAGCAGGAAATAATGGGATTCCACTCTGGGATGGAGGGGGGGGGGAAGCCAAGCACAATCTAACCTAGGTGTTTTGACCTGTTTGTCTGAGTGTGCCTTTGAGAGAGGTGAGAGCTGAAGATGAAGGAATTAGATGAGTGAACTCTGGACTCAAACTACAGCTCCATATTTTTGCAGCCCAGTTCCATAAAAATTCCATAATATTATTTGGCCTCTCCCCAGATGCTAACAAACCTAATATATTAGATATTAGATGTCCTGGATGTTGGATAGATAATCTGTCTGTCTATCTGTATGTCTATCATCTATCCTATTTACCTCTATCTATCTGAGAGATGCACAGTTTCTCTGTACATTAAAAGTATTTTCTGCATTTCATTCTTCTGACTTTTAGCCGGTTCACCATGAAAAGCAGAAATTATGAATTTTAAATGATACAGGAAGAGGAGGACTGTGCTTGCCTTAAGAGTTTCTGGAGAATGACCGATGTTGCAAAAATCCTATAATTTGGAAAGTATATTTGGTTCTTCAATATCTGATAGCAGGAGGACTCACTAGGCCAGGGGTAGGCAACCCTGGCTCTTTCTGGGAGTTGAACTCCACGAGTCATAAAAGAGCCAAGGTTGCCTACCCCTGTACTAGGCCCTCAGATGTTCATTTTATTCAAAAGTTTTATATGTTGCCTTTGCAGAGGAGCTCAAGGCAAAGTCTGCAGTGCTCCTCCTTCATAATCTCAGTTTGGCTGAGAGAAAGCAGTTAGCTATAAGTTGCCCAGTAACTTTCTGTGACTGACAGTGGAATCTGGTCTCCCCAGTGCTGCCCCAACACTTTAATCGCCAGGCCAACCTGGCCCTCTTGTGGTGTTGAGATAAGCAAAGTAAGCCCATGGGTAAGATAGCAGATGCCCATGCATGGATTAATGCTGTTTGAGAAATACCCATGCACTAAAACTGAGGGTAATACTTTTGAGCTTTGTGGCAGAGATTGAATAACACGGTTTATGTTGCTTGCTTGCAGGTTTCCGTGAAAGTGCTTTTGTCTATGCCATTGCAGCTGCAGGAGTGGTACATGCGGTCTCCAATGCCTGCTCCTTGGGCAAACTGCAAGCCTGTGGCTGTGACCAGAAGCGCCGAGGGGATGAAGAGGCTTTCCGCCTCAAACTTCATCGCCTCCAACTGGAGGCCATGAACCGTGGCAAGGGGATGATGCACGGCGTCCACTTGGAGCACCTGCCAGATGAGGCCCCTGGCCTACAAGACTCCTGGGAATGGGGGGGTTGCAGTCCTGATGTGGACTTTGGGGAGAAATTTTCCAAGGACTTCCTAGATTCTCGGGAGATCCATCGTGACCTCCCATCCCGTATGAGGCTTCACAACAACCGTGTTGGCCGGCAGGTAAGTAAAAAGAGCATAGTAATATAATGGGAAGGAGACAAGGCTTTCAGCTTGTCAAACTCCTCTTGATGCCCCCTAAATACTGTACATGGGGCTGTATTTCCCAGAATTCCCTGCTCAGTTATGATGAGCATGATATATTCTAAGATGGTTTGAAAAAAAATGGTCTAAGACATCTGGCAACTTGCTTGCTGGGATTTCTGGGAGTTGAGGTCCACATATTTTATAGTTGGCAAGTTTGAAAAACACATGGTCTAAAACATCTGGGCATCATCTCACTGAGAAGGCTTTCTAAAGGTTTCTGAGGGAGTGAAAGAAAATCAGTAGATCATGGCGCTCTTGAGGGAGAAGAGAAGTTCCTGCTCACCCAGTTCATACTGAGTTGATGTGGGTGGTGGGACCACAAGAAATATAGTGGCCAGGATATTGTAGATACTTTTTAAAATATAATTGCATGAAGCTGGCGAAGGAGGCAGCCCATCAGCTTTCAGTGCAAACTGATGCTGTTTTAAGGCATTGTGCTGATTTTTTACCAGCGGTGGCTCCTGTCCCAATCTAATCTCCAGTTCTGGGCATTCTTCTTTGCTATCAAATGGAAAGGAACAAATAATTAGATCTCACCATTCAAGATTCTATTACCCAGAAATATTTTGGAAAATGATATCATCTGAGAAAAAAAAAATTGATGGGAACCTGCAGCCTCAACTGGGAACTTGTGGGTGCCAGTGAGCCTGCAGAGACTTCTTTTTTTAAAAAATTATTTTTTATTAATTTCTAATTTTACATTTGGGTATTTAAAAAGCAACGTGGTGGCTGGGTTAATCAATAGTTCAGTAGCATATAAAACTTTTTAGTACAAATCTCAAAGTACAACCTCAAATATTTCCTCTCTTTTTCCTTTAATAGCTACTATCTCATATTTAAGCTAATACAGTTCTTATTATATCAACTAAATAAAAATATCATTATTACATTTATGAATAAATTTTTAGCTTATACATATCCTAATTACTTTTACATTCAATCAATGTCCTGGTATTAGTTTTTCCCAATTTTTAGTTTCCCATCAATATTCAAATTTAACATTTGACATTTATAATTTCCAGGTAACCAAAGTTTCCTTTATCTCAATTCATAACAGAATCTAATATTCAAAATATACATCTTATCTATTTTGGTATAATCTTGTTCTATTTCCTAAAAGTTATCTATTTGATGATTTAAAAGCGTAGACATGGGAGGCTAGTTGGCAAAGAAAGAAAGCCAGAATAAGGCTGAAGAAAATTGGGGTTTTGATTTATTAGTGGGGATTTCATATTACCAATTATTAGAGGGTCAAAGGGAGAAGTTGAGACAAGGGAAATTTTGGTCATTAAATTTAAAATATTTGGAAATTAGTCAAAAATGATGCTATTTGTTTAATACTTAAAAATTAGACCCAAAAGAATATATATATATATATATATATATATATATATATATATATATATGATTAAGAAAGTTAAAAATATGAACCCTGGGGGTATTCATGGTAAAGAAATAAAATGAACACCAGGGTAATAAAAACTATAAAAGTTTTTAATTAATTAAAACTATAAAAGTTTAATTAAAAAGCGCCAAGCTTTCGCCGTCACCTGCCGGCATCTTCAGGGCTAGCGCGCCAGAGAATGAGAGAGTCCTTTATAGGCGTGTCAAAGTTTGCGCCCGGCTCCTTGATCTTGTTATCGGGCCTGATTGATTCAATTGTGTACATTTAACCTGTTTTTACTCAGTTCTGTACTGCAAGAGTCCCAGTACAGAACTGAGTAAAAACAGGTTAAATGTACGCAATTGAATCAATCAGGCCCGATAACAAGATCAAGGAGCCGGGCGCAAATTTTGACACGCCTATAAAGGACTCTCTCATTCTCTGGCGCGCTAGCCCTGAAGATGCCGGCAGGTGACGGCGAAAGCTTGGCACTTTTTAATTAAACTTTTATAGTTTTAATTAATTAAAAACTTTTATAGTTTTTATTACCCTGGTGCTCATTTTATTTCTTCACTATGAATATTCCCAGGGTTCATATTTTTAACCTTTTTAACCGTATATATATATATATATATATATATATATATATATATATATATATATATATACATATACATATACATATACATATATATATATATATATATATATATATATATATATATATATAATGAATATGTTTGATTTATTGATTAACTCAGACAATATAAATAATGGGCTTTGATTTATTAAAGGGGATACTGTATTATTAATTAGATGATATAAGATGGGGAGGAAAATAGATAATCTGCAAAGACTTCTCATGCCTTCTATCAGTCTTCATGCTCCATCTGATTAGTTTTTTTCCCCAGAAAAAAATTGAGGAACCGGCCAGTTTAAAATAAAGTGACAGTTGTTAACATAATCTTCATATCTAAGAGCTGTAGAATCCTGCATCTGTTCCAGAGTGTTTAATAGGAGGCTATAACTCAGAGCTCCGTTTGGAAACGTGACTCAGCACCTGGAAAAAGGGTAGAAGAAAAAAATGGTACAAGATAGCTCAGGAGCCTAGACGTGTTGATGGGGAACAGCCCTAGTAGTTTGACTCCTGACAAGAGATTTTGTGACTGGCACCATTTTTGGTGAGTGACTATGAGATGATCTCAACAATTGCTGTACAAACGTGCCCACCGGCCTTAAAGAGCAGGTAATTGTGTTTTAGCATCTAACAACTTTATTCACAGACAAAACAAATCATTCTGTAATTTTAACCCTGATGACAGGTTTACTTGAGTCTAAGAAGCCCTTGATAAGAGGCAGCTAGACATTATGATATGAAGCTGGTAATGCCACAGTTATTTATTTATTTCAAAATAAATATCTTGCCTACAAACAATTTTTTCCCCAGTGCAGCCTACTAATATTCCAAAATGCATTATCGAAAAATGTTATTAAAAATAGCAACTATATAGACAATGATATGGTATGTTTCTCAAGGTGTTAAGAATAGGCACTTTATACCACATATTAACTGTGATAAACTGTTACACTGCCCAGAGTATCTACTGCTAATAGGTAATGTAAAATTGTTAATGAAATATTGAAAAATCTTAGACGGAACTTAAAAAAATTTGTGCATAGACAAAAATTCCTATTTATCAATTACAAAAGGCCACATTGTTTCGATCTGCACATATACTACACCAATACAATACAACATCTTAGATTCTTGGAAAGAACTCAGTGCACAAGAAGGCTAACATCAATTAAAGAACTGGTAGCTCTGATTTCACATTGTTGGGTGTAATAATATAATAATCTATATACTTCTGGAACTCAGGTTCACATAACTTTAATTGGGCAAAACAGTGCCTCATAGGGCAACAATTTTTGAATCAAGATACCTCAAATGGGCTAGCTTAAGGAATGTGATCAAAATTGGAGACTCTTGACTCCTGTGGAATTGAAATTTGGTATAAAACATTTTATGATACAGAAGTCATCATAAAGCAGTTAATGACATAATATAAAATATCATAAAACCTTTTCTGTGCTGATGTTTGAATGTGCTATACAGTTCAATATGGGTTATTTTCAAGGCACGTGCATCTCTGAATGTATCCCAGCTTTTCCTGTGAAGGCAGTACTTTAGAAGTTCTGTCACGGTTGAAGGCACTGAGGAATCTGCTAAGAAAATACCTCTGAAAAAATGACCCAACCCAACTCAAGAGTTATCTAGTAATAAATTTAAATGTATCAAAACTGCCCACCACCGTAGATTCTGTCCTTTATAATAGCCTCATGAACACCAGAACAACTTGTGAATATACAAAGATTGTTCACAATTAACATCTTTGAGATTTTGCAGTGTTTGGAATATACCTACAATCAAATGGCAGCTATTAGGCACATACAGGAGTGTTTTGTGAATTCTGCACACAAAACCTCACACCACACTATGTAATTCATTTCAAAATTGCCACAAGACTTTAAAGTTCCACACTCAGTTGCATTGCATTCAACTGTTAACTCAATGTCTCAGTTATGTAGTAATAATAATAATAATAATAATAATAATAATAATGGAAGGGAACTTGGAGGTCTTGTATTCCAACTCCCTGCTTGGCCAGGAACGCCTATACTATTTCAGACAAATGATTGTCCCGTCTCTTCTTAAAAAATTCCAGTGTTGGAGTATTCACACCTTCTGGAGGCAGGTTGTTCCACTGATTAATTGTTCTAACTGTCGGGAAGTTTCTCCTTAGTTCTAGGTTGCTTCTCTCTTTGGTTTGTTTCCATCCACTGCTTCTTGTCTTGCCTTCAGGTGTTTTGGAGAATAGCTTGACTCCCTCTTCTTTGTGGCAGCCCCTGAGATATTGGAACACTGCTATCATGTCCCCCCTCATCCTTCTCTTCATTAAACTAGACATACCCAATTCCTTATATGTTTTAGCCTTCAGTCTTCTAATCATCTTTGTTGCTCTTCTCTGTACTCTTTCTAGAATTTCAGCATCTTTTTTACATCGTGGTGACCAAAACTGGGTACAGTATTCCAAGTGTGGCCATACCAAGGCATTTTAAAGTGGTATTAACACTTCATGTGATCTTGATTCTATCCCTCTATTAATGCAGCCTAGCACTGTGTTGGCCTTTTTGGCAGCTGCAGCACACTGCTGGCTCAAATGTAAGTGATTGTCTACTAGGACTCCGAGATCCCTCTCATAGTTACTACTATTGAGCAAGATACCACATATTACCCCTTTATGGATTACTGCCTTGTCGTGGCGAAGGGGCTTGCGTAACTCAATGAAGCTATAAGCTATGCCGTGCAGGGCCACCCAAGACGGACAGGTTATAGCAGAGAGTTCTGACAAAATGTGATCCACTGGAGAAGGAAATGGCAAACCACTCCAGTATCTTTGCCATGAAAACCCCATGGACAGTACTAAAAGGAAAAAAGATATGACGCTGGAAGATGAGCCCCTCAGGTCGG